GAAGAAAAAGAAAAAGAAAAAGAAGAAGAAAAAGAAGAAGAAGAAGAAGAAGAAGGTGGAGGAGGAGGAGGAGGAGGAGGAGGAAAGAAAGAGTAGCTACTAGAAAAAAATAGAGAGTTGAGCACCAGGCTCTGTGATCCAGGAACCAGAGGCATCCAGAGAGGTGAACAGGAAGACGCAAGGGCTCCTGGAGACTACTAGTGGCCACCGGATGAACTGCAAGAACGGGACAGGACCCAATAAAAAGGATGGACTATGCTTTCCCTGGCATTAGTCCCTTAATAAAGGTGATTTGGGAAAAACTTGATATATTTAGTGGCCACCCGCCCCCCACACACCTGCTTTTTGGAAAAATAAACAGAAACCTGAGCTTGGCAGAACAATAGCTTGGTTCAGGATAGGTCTGCTGCTGAGTGTTTTGGTCCTACTCACTTGAGACTGTCCAGCTGTGATTCTTGGTTCAGAGGCCCTGTCCTCACAGCATGTAGTGGAAAATACTGAATGAACTGAAACGTACTATTAATAAGGTGTAATGACTCTGGGGATCATAAGTCGTTCAATTTACAAGTGACTGGCTGCTTTCATTCATTCAGATCTTTCTGTAGCCACTGGCCCCTCACTTTCCTGCCTGAGGGTTTCCTAGGAGCATACCACGTGTCCCTTGGGCTGTGGACTCATGACTGCAAGTAAATAATGGTGGTCCTTCCGAAATAGTACAGGTAAATTATTTCCATCTCTGTTTTCAAAGATAACTATAGAAAACCATTTATCTGTTTTTTTTTTTTTTTAAAGAAACAACTAACAGTTTTGATGTGTGATTGGCAGCATTTAACTCAGACTTCCAGTTTCCAGAGGTTCTCATTGGTCATGTCCTGATCTGGGTTGGGGAGGATCGTTTGCACATTCAGGCAGTGAACCTCGCTGTGTGGTGAGTCAGACGCTGCCTCAAGCACTGTTTATCCAGTCTTCAGAACAACCTGTAAAGTAGGCATTGCTTCTATCTTGCTGATGGGAAAACTGAGGCTTGGGGCACTCAGATGATTGTTCTGGGTTCTGAGAGAGGAAGCTGGGTTATCTGCCTCGTGGACCAGGGGCTCTTTGCTCCCTTTGCCACATATGTGGAGGTCCATGTGCCTCCTCACTTGTCAAGGCTGGCTGAGCCCCTTGTTCTTTCTTTCCCTACAGCCGCCTTCTTCCAGTGCCCGCACCATCCTGCCTGGGGCCCAGTGTTTTCTCTGCCAGAGGGGAATTTTCCTAGAAAACTGAATACTCCAAGGTGACCTGTGAGATAGTTTGATGTCTGTAAGCTTTCCAATTTTATATGCATTCTTAAAAATAATTATTAAAAAAGATTTCTAGTCTGGGCTGTGAAGGAGTGAATAATCTCAGCTGTTTGCTTTAGACCTGTTTCCTAACCTGTAACACAGGAGTTGAGACTGGTTGGTTAGCATACCCCTTTAAACCCAGCTATGTGGCTTTGATGGGGCAGAGTTTAGGATGTAGCACTTAGCTGGAAGACAGTTCAGAATGAGTTTTTCTCAGCCACCAAGAGCCACAGTGTGACTGTGTGCACCCACCCCAGCAAGCAGATATTTATCCCCCATGAAATATAGCACGGAGTCCTCAGGAGCAAACTGGATTTTGATGCATAAATGCTGTTACAAAACATTCTCAGCTGGATGCCATTCAGGGACAAAAGTCTGAATGTCCATGCCCATGCCCCAAGGGAATGGCTTCTGCATCACCAAGCCTGTGCTGGCACCTGGACCCTGTCACAGGTGACAGGGCCAAATGGAGGTCAGCTGGTAGCTGCTGCGCCCAGAGCAGGTCCCTGAGGATGAGGCAGAGGTAAGAGAGAGAGGAAGAACCTTGCCTCGCCTGCTCCCCTAGCTGCTCTGGAGACAAATAGAGGGCTTCCATCTCTATTACTGTCAGAATCTGGCACCTCTCACCAGCTGCGAGATTCACAGCCATGGGTGGAGGATGGAGATGCAATGAGCTGCAAGCCAGACAATCAAATACAGCAACAATATTTTGGAAGTGGAATCTTCCAGTTAGAGAATATTCTCCAAAGCATAGAACATCAAGGATGGAAAAAGCCCCAATGAATCCGGCACCTTGTTTAGCAAAAGGAATAACTGCAGAACAGAAAGATAAAGTGAATTCTCTGATGTTATAGGGTCAGTGAATGGCAAAACTGGCGCATTGACAGCTTAAAAGACTTTTGAAATTCTCTAACACCAGAGACTGTCAGGGCACAACTTTTTCATAGATCTCAGTGGAGGAGGGTCTTTCAGGGGGAAGGTGGGTCAGGCTCCACTGGAGACAGTCATGTCCTCCTACCTTGCAGGTTGACACCCCGGGGCACCAGGCCCTGCAGTTCCTGGGTCGGGAGGTCGTCTTCCGCTGCATTGGAGTTGTTGGGTGGAACAGCTCTCCTGCCGCCAAAGGTGGTCCCAGGAGTATCTGACATTGTTGGTTTTACTGAGTCCCTGGGGAAGGGGGAAGAAAGTTTATGGAAAAGGAATGAGAAATGAGTTCCACTCAAGGCCAGGATTCAAAAGGAAACACACACTCAAAAGTGACCACCCTCAAGTAACATGGAGAGTTGCTCATAAATAAAAGTTGAGAAGTGGCAGAAAGGATTGGCCCAATGACGGCACAATCCTCTAGGATCCTGGTGCGGGGGATGGATGTCTACTTTGTCAAAACATATGGAAAGCAGAAGAAAGTTTACTTGAAGCAAAGAAAGCTGTTTTTGTAGGAAGTACTGTCATGCTTCGACCACGTACCTACACTTTATAGAGAAATTCACACAGGGAGATTCACAAGGCCCAAGTCACCATGGACACCAAACTCATGGAGTCATGTCCAGATCAGGATTATCTCCCAAAGTGGTCACACTTGCAATTTAATTCAACCACTATTTACCGAGGGCTTTTTACGTGCCAGGCTGAGATCCTGGTACTTGAGTAGATACATGAGAGAGCAAAACAGTTCTGCTGTGAAAGCTCACAGTATGGTAGGGTTACGGATAAGCAGGACAGGAGTCCTATACAAATCCGGTTGGGTGTGTGGGATGGAGATGGTAATAGTAATGGTAAGTAGGACTTAATGTAGACTGTGAAGCAGCTTCTTGGTCAAGCCTGCTTTGTCCTCTGTCGGAGTTTGTACAGGCCACCAGCCAGTCCAAACAAACACCACACACTTACCCTCAGGGCCCAATGAGGACTTGTTGACCAGTTGACCAAATGAAGGGGGACTTTGTTTCTGAACCCTCTTCACCTGGATCACCCCGCCTTGACTCCTGGCAGCATGAATGTTTACAAAAACCAGGCACACCCTTACAAGATGAAGTGTCCCTAGTGTAGAATCAACTAGATTAGAAGGTTCCAGAAAGGAGCGGAACAGTGGCAACAAGGGTGAGCACAGAGCCCACCCCCCTCCTCGGTGAGGTATTTGGTTTTGGAAGGAATCAGGAGCGTTTGGAAGGATGAGATAGGGTTTGTATCCATAAACACCCATGGAGATTTACAGGTGGCATCTGGTGAGCTGAGGCAGGGAGGGACTTTAGAGAAAAAGGTTTAATGCCTGAGATGAGAAGAAACAATAGCAAAGGTCTGCTGATTAGACACCAGGGACTGGCATGGGACTGGGGACAGGAGTGCAGGGCAGACAGGCAGCCTGACGGGAGAGAGCAAGTAAAGTGGAAAACTGGGCATCCCAGGTGCTGACTAAGAGAGGCAGGTCAGGCCAGCTGGGTGAGTGCTGACGAAGGAGCTGCCCCTCTTGGTGGATGGATGTAGGAGAAGGAAGGGGCTCAAGTTCAGTCCTTGCATTGAGTTTGGAGGAGCAAACAGAAGAGCAAACAAGCCGTTCTCTGCCAGGCTTCCTACCTGGCCCTACCCTATCCCTTAACCTTCTGCATAGCTGCTCTACAGTTAGATTTCCTAAGGAAGGGGCACCCACCCTTGGAGAAGCAGCCTCACGCCCCATTCCCATTTCAGGACCTTAGCCAGTAACATCCTCAGGATAGCTTGGTGGAGTGCTAAGAAATTCCAGCTCAGAAGTGGGGCTGAGTAGTGCAAAATCCAAGGTGATAGACTGGAACTGCAGAGGTGGGCTGCCTCTGACCCCCTCCCCTGGCTCAGCCCTTTGCAGCTGCAGAAACTGGGGTATAAAAGAACAACCCTAGCTACCCCTGGGCTTCTTACCTGCCTGGGTTGCTGCGAGGGGCCAAGTAGGCTGGCTGTGTGCCTCTGGTCACTTCCTCAAAAGGACTCGGGCAAAACCACCAGAAAGTTGTCTCTTAAATAACTTCCTAACCGCTCCCACCCTCCTCCCTGTCCCTGTTTCTCCTCCCCTTTCTTGACAGCTGGGGGGAGTAGAGTTGTTTCTAGGACTTTCCATTTAAGTCTGCTATCCAGCTCTGATATTCCAGCATGTGCCCCTTCCTGCCACCACATCCCTCTCACTCCCTAGTTCTCCTTACCATCCCACCTCAGGTTATGTCTCTCCCCTCCTCCTCTGGCAAGCGGCCTTCAGTGTCAGGCAGACCCTCCCTTCCCGATGGATCAACAGGGCTAAAGGGTCTTCTTTTACCATGTGGATAGATTGGTGAGCTGGCAGAAGGGAGGGTCTGTACTCCCTCAGACAGGTCACACAGACAGTTGTGACCATCTGTAAAGCAATAGCAGTGAGTCCCTCTTGTGCAAATAAAACTGCCTCCTTGAATCACCCACAGAGCCCCAGCCACTGCCCAACCACAGGACTTCCTGTGGGACAGCCATGATGTGATATCCAGCCCTGTCCAGACTCTCAGATACCTTAAAGAATGGCACATAAATTAGAAGACAATGCTTTGTGTTTTCCCTGCAAACCACTGTAGTGTGTCTTCAAGAATTACAGAGAAAGAAATGAAAATTTTCTCCCTAAAATTTCCCATGTTTTTGTTTGAGGATCTTCATGTGTTTAAACAGTCCTGTTTTCAGCCATGGCTATTTCTAACCTCCTTTGCTGTCTTTAATATCTGACCCTGACACATGATCGCCACATTTCATAAGTGGGTGCTAATAGTTAGGAATGCCCCCATTTGCTTTGTACCAGATGTATGGACTTGTCTGTAATTTTACCAATGTTTCTTTCCTTCTTCCTGTCCCTGAGGTGGAAATGACCCCCCACCCTCTTGTCCAAACTGTCTGTATCTTTGCCTTGTTCCATGAAATTTTCTCAAGGGCTTTGCTGTGCCCTTATCCACTCTTCCTCTTGTGGCTGCCAGCTCCGGTTCCCGCACAGCTGCTTCCTGTCAGCAGTGACACAATTCAAAGTTGAGCCCCTTCAACATTTTAAAAAGCCTTCTCTCAATTCATGTCCTTCTGATCATTTCACATTCTCTCTGTTCCCCTCTGTCTGTCACCAAGCCTCTGGCACCTGGCTTCTACTTCCATCACTCCACTGAAACTATCAAAGTCAAGGTGCCTATCTTTATGTATTTTTTGAGACAGGGCCAAAAGTAACTCCAGCTGGCCTAGAACTCACTATGTAGACCAAGCTGGCCCAAATCTTACAGTGCTAGAAATCTTACAGTGCCTAAATTCCCAAATGCTGGAATTAAAGATGTGCACCATCACACCTGGATAACCACTATATATATATATATATATATTATTGCTACAACAAAATACCTGAAACTGGGAACTTTATAAAATAAAAAAAGGTTTATTTAGCTCATGGTTCTGAAGGCTAAAACGTCTAAGAATATGATGCTGGCATCTTCTTAGCTTCTGGTAAGGATCCTGTACTTTTCTTTTGGAGGGAGGGAGAGGATAAGGAAGAAAATAGCTTACTAAGTGCACTGCAAGGTGAAAGGATAAGGCCTAGCTTGTGCTGTATGCTGTATCTTCATCAGGCAGGAAGCAGGAGGGAAAGTTGGCAAGATAGGAAAAGAGTAAACTTGAGGGCAGCCCCACTTTATAGGGAACTGCCCCCCTAGTAACTAACCCAGTCCCAAGAGAACTGCACTGATCTCTCCAATCACTTCTTAAAGGTCTAATCATCTCTCAAAACCATCAGGCTGAGAACCAAATTTCAACATGAGTTTTGTAGAAGAGAAACCACATTAAAACCATAGCAATCTCCGATGGTCTCTTTTCAAGGTAAAGAATGGGACTCAGTTCTTGACTTAATCTTTGGAAGCTCTGAACTCTCTTCCCCGCTCTCCTTGGCCTCTGGGACAGTGCACACTGTGTTGTTGTTCCCTCCAGTGCAGCGTGCTAGCCTTTGATAACCTCGGTAACTCTGCTGGTTATAAATTTCCATCTATCTCCTGGACTTCCCAAACTTCGGTGTCTGGCCATGGTCTATTCTAGAGCTGTAGACTTCCTAGATTACTGCCTTGCCTGCCCGTTACTTTCACTCTTTAAACCCTGGAGATAGCCCCTACTCATCTCCATGGTGACATCCCATTTTCTGTGAAGATTTGATATTTTACCGAGTTCCCAGTCTTATAAATGCCATTGTCTAGAGTACAGTTGTAGGTCAGACACATGGGCAAAATTCTTCACAATTCTTGTTTGCCTTGATCCTCCAATCTAATCCTTCATCAAATATTTTCTATCCTACCTTTAATTAGTCTTGAATCTGGGGCTGGAGAGATGGCGCAGTGGTTAAGAGCACTGGCTCTTCTTGCAGAAGACCCGTGTTTGAATTCCAGCACCCACATGGCAGCCTATAACTGTCCATAACTCCAATTCCAGGGGATCCAAAGCCTTATTCTGTCCTCCTCAGGCATTGCATGACATAGGTGCACTTAAGCACATGCAGGCATAACACTCATACATCTAAAATAAAAATAAAGAAAAAACAGTCTTGAATCCACCCCTTTACCCTCTTCTGATTCATTCTCCGTAATGCAGTTACAAGGAACTTTGAGGGACTCAAATCTGGATTCAGGTTTTTTTTGCCCAGAGTCCTACCATAAGTAAGTATTTAACTTTGATTTTAGGGTGAATTCCAGCCATCAACTGGACAAGGCCCTATACAAAGTAGACTCTGCCTTGCTCCCCAGCTCCATCTTTCTCAAGCTCCCTGGCCACACCGTCTCCCTCCCCACTTCTTCTCGTTCTTTGCTTCAGCCACAGTGAATTCTTACTCTGTACCTCAAGACACAAGATCATTTCCTATTCACATTCTACCATGCCTTGGATTGCTCAGCTGTCCTGCAAGGACCTTGTCATCTAATAATGCTTCTCACATTTGTGGGGTTACTTCCTTGGCACCAGCCTCACTAGATGACACAAGAGCAGGGATTCCAGGCTGAGAGAGGCTGCTGACCATATTCATCCCAAGTCCATCCTTCCACATTCTTTGTGGGGTGCTAGAGAAAGATCCAGGTGCAGATGCCACCATGATCTGGTAGACTCATGGGGTTTGGAGAAGAGTGACCATGCCTACACCTGTCATATCTGGTTATCCAGATGTCAGCCCTCTGGTTGAGCTGTTGTTCAGGACAGGCTTGTCACCTCATAGCCACCACCACAGTACCACACTTGTCCTGAGACTCACAGTTGGGTGGGTAAGCATACACATTAGTTTTCTGTTGCTCCCACTACCAGCCCATTAACATTATGAGTGTCATGGATTTCCTGTGCTCAATAGACAGTCAGTGACCCAGTGTCAGAGGCACCAAGCTTCTGACTGAAGCCATCCATCTTAGAGCATCACCTTATGGTCTCATGGCTCAGAAATCAAAACAAAGGTTTCTAGTCATAGGATGAACCTTGAGATATGCCAGCAATGTGACTTGTGCAGAAGCAGCGTCTTTGAACAGACCCTGAGGTCCTTGGGGAGGAGGCTAGTGTCCTTCACACATGGATGCCTTTTGCTTGGCAGGAAGAGGCATGGTGCAGGAATTTAAGGAATGTAGCAGCTGTGGCCAAACTAAGAAAACAAACATCACCTTAGTTATTTTCTAAGAGAGAATTTAACACACTTTGATAGAAGAGACAGAAAAGCAAACGGAGGAGGTGAGTCAATCTCACAATTAGCAACTGAGCAGTAGGGGTCAGCATAGGGCAGGGGTCGAGGTTATGTGGTGGGAACTGGAATCCCATGGGCCTGTCGGCTGGGAGCTTGAGATTCAGTCATTACCAGAAACATGGTCTGAGGTCAGGAGGGAAGCATTGGCCCAGTCTATCTTTTTTCTCTACTTCTCACATTGCCTCCTATTTGCTGAATGTGGCTAAAAATCATTTAACCAGCAGAGAATCCTAGGAAACAGCAGAACCAGTCAGGCCTGTACTTCTGTGTCAGAATCCTCAAGACTGCCCCTAGGTTCTATGAGCTATCAGTACCCGTCAGACTCAGTTATCCTCATGGCTATGATTTATTACAGCAAGATGATCCAAGTCTGAATGGGGACGGTCTCATGGGTAAGAGCCTCAGGAAATCAGGCCAACTCCCCCAGGCAAGTCACTTAGGACATGCCAAACTCCCCAGCCATGAGCTGTGACCATACATGTGTTGTAGTGTCTACCAGAGAAACTACTGGATTCTGTAGCCAGGGTTTTTACTGGTCATGCAGGCATCCTCTACCTAGCTTGAGTACACATTCTGGACTCTTAGAAGGGAAGTAGGTGTTCAACATGAAGCACACACTTTGTTTTATGTAGTTTATGGATAGTGACACAGATCAGTTAAGGAATGATGGCAAGATTCCTGAATCCCAATTTCCAGATGCCGGCGAGTTTTAGATTCTCTGTGGAATTCTTTTCTGCAGTCCCCAGGCTATGGTGAGGAGGGGGATCTTTCAGGCAAGCAGCTCCAGTTTGTATCACTGTATGGCCAGCCCCAAGGTCCCTTCAAAACACTGCTGTCTACTGAGACCTCAGCTGTAGCCTAGAGCAAGAGGAAACAGTGTCAAATTTATAGGGACCTCTCAGTTCCAGCCCCAATTTCCTGGCCTCACTGGGTCAGTATGGGAACCCTGAAAAAACAGCATCCATCTTCCTGCATAAGCCTGCAACCTTCTCATTTCTCTGGGATCATAACCTACAGCAATAGAGCCATAATCCCAGAGTCCTGTTGGCCAAACCATGAAGAAAGCTGCATTTTTGCCACCCTACCTTCCCCAAGGGTAGGCAGGAGCACTCAAGCACACTACTCAGGGATCCTGGATCCCATCAGAAACATGTACCAGCCTTCAGAAGATGAGCCAACAGAAGATGCTTGAGATAAGAAGGACCTTGACCATTTAGTTACGAATCT